ATAGTGGTGAAACTAAATGCTGAGAATCACACTCTTTACGTTTGAAAACTATAGTTGGCAAGCTTTCAGAAACATGTATTGTAAGTGACCCAAATAACTCACAAGCTTGACTTGTTAAACTTTGAGTATTTCTCTTTTAAGAGCAGAGCAACAAAGAGGTAGAATATGTTTGTCCAAAGGGTAAAACTTTTGCAAATCAGTCACAGTTTAGTCTAAATTGTTGCCTAAGTTTATGTATCAAAATGAAATGAACAAGAAATAAGTATTATAGATTACATCATGATGAGGGAAACACTTCAACATGTTATTTTAGTGTCGGTAGCAACAGTTTTGGCTTTTCTGTTTTAAATGAGGTCAGTCATATCCTGCTATTCATTTTTGTTATGAATTTGTAATAGCTCTATTAGTGCTGCGTTTTTACCCAATCGTTTCATGCCATGAGAATATCCTACCGGAATGTGCCTATTTCACTAGTTCTCTTGTATGTTTCTGTATTTTTGAAGCGTACAAATTTGTATTAGCCAACAGCCAAATTTTCAAACTCTCAAATTTAAGGAAATAGAAAGTTTAAAGGAGAGACAGGAGAGAGATCATTTGCATTTCAGACCAAGCGGTGTTTTTATGGGGGCTACCGTTTTGGTTGTTGTGCATTTTTAAAATGACTGTAGTCTATGTCTTCCCTTATCTGAGAAACATCTGGGGTTGCGCACGGTTAACAGTTTGTTTGCTAGTATCTAGGAATGACTGGTATGTGTCTGCCAAAGTCAGAGAAACTTTCAGGGTGGAAATTTTTGAGACGCTCCACAACACGATCCATGTCAGCCTAAATAAGAACCATTCCTGCTGACTCCCGTCACACCTCGATATCAGGCAGGCGTCTGCCTAAGAAAGTGACAAGCAAATTGATTCCCAACTGTCTCCGTGCAGATGTTGACACACGCCGTGTTCGGTCAACTGCAGAAAGAAACTCGCCCCCCCCCAGCAAAAACAGAAACTCCTCTTACAAAGCACCGTTGTACAGATACATGGGAGGGGGCGAAGTGATGTTGCGGATGAGTTGAATGAGGTGAGGGTGGAAATGGGATGGGTCGGCTCTGCGCGTTGAGACGGTGGTTTGACTTGCAAAGCAGGCCTGGGCGCTCGTGGCCCGAGCGCCAAAGAAAGGGGCCCTTCCCTGAGGGTGGAACACGGCGTACACGGACAGCTGCGGTGCCGCTTTGTGCTAGATTGCCGGCCTTGTCACCCACAGGCATGAATTAGTGATAAGGAATGTTTCAAGCCATGAGGAGGTGTCAGGATCAGGTTTGTGGCTCCATGTTTCCTCTTTCTCTGTGTTCTGTGCAGGTTTATTCAGGGACAGGTTGCTCCTGCATGCAGAGCAGTCCCTCTGCGCTTCGTTGGCACTGAATCGAGTTTTGTGTTGGTGCGCATGTTTGTGCAAGTGTGTGTGTTTTATCTCCTCCTCGAGCTCAACGTCTTTACCTCACAAAGCCATGACCCAGGGTCAACTGTGGATGTATGGGGGATACAGTAGCCTCATTCGCAGGCTTGCAGCAAAGCCCCGGTTCAGTGCAGGTGCTTTAGAGAAAAGCAGGTTGACTCGGCTGTGGACGAGGCTGGCAGAGATCCGTTTCCACCTGCAAAGGACACGACCGGTAGCCATGTGGATGCCCTTTCTCTCGCTTTTCCTTCCCTTCTCACTCTGCTCTCTTTGCCTCCCGTGTCATTTCTCTTTGTCTCTCTCTCCCTTAACATATTCAGATGACGGATGGGGTAATAAAATTTGCTTTTGCCATGGCTGACAGATTGTTTTCAGTGGAGCTCTGTTAAAGTCTCTGGCAGTGTTCTCAGACCCTATGTGGTCAGACGCCCACAAAAAAAAACAGGATTTAAGAGATCCATAGAGAAAGCGTGCTGCCAGTAGGCCAGGGCCATTATGACATTCTCATGGTACGACAACCTTGATTTAAAACGCCCCGGTTTTACTGTATCAAGGAGTTAACGCAGAACCTTTAAATAAAAATGTTCTGAAAACCAAAAGGCTGTTATATAAATAATAGTTTATATAACAGGTATAACAATTTAATGTCTGATACTTTGATTTTTCTACTTTTTAAATAAATATGCGTTTTCTGAAGAAAATGAACCCTTTTTAGTTTTTTGCTTTGGGGTGGTTGGTGTGGATATAAAATGTTATAATATTTCAAGGTGTTTCTTAAGTAGCGTATTGTATTCTTTTTAGCTTTAAATCTATATAACTCCATTCACTCATAGCCCAACAAAAGTGAAACTGCTAATACTAACCATTGTCAAATACATTGAGTAGTGCAGATAAACTGTATATACTGTAACTATTGCATTCAGCCATATTTTAACGAGGAACGTGTGTTTAATGACGCTCTCCTGAAACCAGTAGTAGAAAAGAAACTTGTACGGGAATGGTAGCAATCACAATCATGACAATTAACACCATTAATTAGAGTTAATTATTGACACAGCACTACAACTACAACTACATCTGTTTCTTGATTTTTCTTCATATCATATTGATAAACATTTTGATAATTTCCCATTCCTTGTTCTGATCTTTGGTTTCTGGAGTAACACTGGAATATCAAATTGTTTCTAGGGCCACTTATAGCTAAACTCCGTACAACCAGAGAAAACTCCACCTACTCCGACTATCTTTGGCATGTCATTAAAAGGGCTTTAAACCGTAGGAACTATATGACATAATAGTTCAGTGGTTTGGAAACCAAATGTTGGTTTACCTGGATGCTGGAATTCAACCCATTCCTTGGAGCCAGTTGGCGTCTTACTGGGTAATCACGCTTCACAAACCAGTGCAAACATCTATGTCTTTACCATTTTTACTTGCAGCTTTTTATCTAAATGTACATTATAACATTTGGCTGAATCGACCACTCTTTGACCCATTTAGTCATTGATGAGAGGGTGAAAGAAACCTCTTAATCTCTTACGGGTTCCTCGGCGCAGAGGGACAGATAAATCTATCCATGACCTATCTGCGCATCACAGGTGTGGACACAGATTGGTATTTCTTAAGAAAGGATAAAACAAAAGCATAAGCAGAGGAGAGGACAGAGCCAAAGAAAGAAGGTGAACTCTATTAAAAGAGGAGGGGCAGCCAGGTTAGGCAGGTTTGGGAGTGGGGTGTAGCAAACAAACATACCAGCAGGATTGATCGGAAGGAATCTTGTAATTTGAAGCTTGTAGAGAGCAACGCATTTAATGCAACCACCGCCCAGCCTTGCCCCCCTACTGGGTCTGCCTGGCAGATGGTGAAGAGGAGGTGAAGGGGGTTGGTGGGAGGGGAGGTGGATGTCCTGTGTGTGCTTGTATAATGTGTGTGATTTCCGTGTGTTATTGATGTTACGGTATTCACTCGTGTGACTGAGAAATCGAGGATGCCCCGCTCTGCCGAAACCCCTCCACCACCCACCCCGCCCCTCCGCCTAAGCTTCAGTCGATCATTTTAATTCCCACCCCACACACGCACACAAACACACGTGAGCGAGGGGACAGGCCTTTTCCGAAACTTGGCACGCAGCGCAGGGTGGGGTAACTAGCTCAGACCGGATTGACAACCTCCCTTTTTAATGCCGTTCCTTTGCAACTCGTCGTACGTTCTCTTCCTCCTCCTGTGGAGGTTTTTTTTTTTTTCCACCGGGTCTGTCCTCGCAGCCTTCTCCACATCCCTCCACTCTCCTCTCCCTTCTTGTTCCTCCGCTTCCCTTGCTTTCCTTCCTCGCTCTCGACTGTCACAGAGTGAGCATAGGCTGCACAGCCCAGCTCCCAGCATGCACTCTGATCCCCTCAGCCCTCTGCTTATCTGTCCTCCACGACCTCTTGCTTGATTTCTTGCACGGGTGCATGCATACACCCGTGCATGTATTCATATATACAAGGAAACAGGCACCCCGGCCACCTGCACGCGTGAAATACATAAATATCTTTTTTGATTCTCCCACTCATTGTATTTATGCAGAGAAAACTGCTGACCAACACGATTCAGCTCTTATTCACTACAGGAACCTAATGTCTTGCACATAGCTGTTTGTTTTGCCATCAGTCTGTAACTGCACCTGTTTTTTAGTTATTTTTTAATTTTTTAAATTTTTCATACCAGTCTCAAAATACATTGTGAGGAACAAGACACCGTCTCAAAGCTGCATTGGACCAAATGTGAAAATTTCACACTGAAGTCCAAATTTGAATCAGATGGAGACGAGAGTTTAACTTCAGCTGACTTCAAGAGTTAGATTTGGGACTTAGCAGGTTAAAAATGCCCCAAACAAACAAAAAGCATCTTTGGTCTAAAAAAACATTAACAGCATTAACTTTGCTGCATTTTTTTCTGAGTTAAATAAATCAAATCTTGTAAAGTTTATGCTGAAATCAAACCAACGGCCTGCAGGACTTTTATCCTGTTTTGGTTGTTGTTGCCACAGGCAGCCTGATTGCTACATCTCTAATTAATAAATTTGCTTATTTTTTTTTTTTATTTCAGTTACACCATATTGAAGGTCCTAAGAGAATAATAAGCAAAAAAACATATAAAAAGAACAGATTTTTTGACTGAAAGGATAAACATGTAGGTTCAACCACCGGCCCGCACAAAACTTATCTTTTTAAATTTGCTTTTGTGAAACAAATCTTTACTTTGAAAAGGTGCTATCTAAATAAAGTTACTTATTTACTTCCAAACCACTTCAGTCTAAGTTTTCTCACGGTCGGTGTATGTTTGTAAGATTTTACCTGTATGTTCAATTACATAGAGATGAGAGAGGAGAATCCCAATTAGTGTGCGATCAGATCGATTTGATTCACTTTCCCTGTTCTTAAATTTTGTAGCATGTTAAAAATGTGTTGCTGCGGCTTATGTTGCAGATTTCTGTCTCAGTCAATCAATACATATTCCTCTCACTTTTCTGTCCACGAAAGAAACTAATCAAGTGATCTGTGTCTTCTGCTTTCAGATAGGCAGACAGACAGACGGCAGGACGGATACACGGGTGGGGGCTGTGCTCGGCGGCTCGGCGGCAGGCTGGTGGAAGATGTCGTCAGGGGCCGGTGGGAGAGGAGGAAGGCGGCTCCGGGGTATAACAAGCACTGCGGGCGGGGGGAGACGAGGAGGAGCGGGGGAGGCGGAGGAGGGTCCCGTGGGGATCCCTTTCCCCGAACACAGCGCGGACGTCCTGGGCGGCCTGAACAAGCAGCGGCTCAGCGGGCTCCTTTGCGACGTGCTCTTAGTCACCCAGGACCGGGAGTTTCCGGCCCACCGCTCCGTCCTCGCGTCCTGCAGCTCTTACTTCCACAAGCTCTTCACTTCAGGGGCCGCCGCCGACCAGCAGAACATCTACAACATCGACTTTGTGGCAGCAGAGGCTCTGGGAGCTTTGCTGGACTTTGCCTACACGGCGACGTTGACGGTCAGTCACAGCAGCGTGGCTGACATCCTTGCTGCTGCTCGCCTCCTGGAAATCTCTCCCGTCCAGGACGTCTGTACTCACCTGCTGGACACCAAAGTGCTCTCCCCGCCGGTGAGGCATCGCCATAACACAGAAACAAAAGCTTGTGTATTCACTGTCAGAATCCTGAGGTTGAGACAACAAAACATTAAAAAGCTGATGTTTCAGTGCCTTCAAAAACTAGTCAACTTTTTCCTCATTTCTGCAATTTTATGTGATTGATTAAGACAAAGGCGAGCATAACTGTGACAGAGCATCTGTAAACAGGAATTTGCAATCCTTGGTGTAGAATCAAACACATTTTATGAAAGTTCTTGGTCATAGCATGATAGAATGTAAAAGTAAAGATGCGTGAATAGTGTCGGAAGCCACTGCGCGTTTATTTTCTCTAGTTCATTCATATCCGAAATGGTGCATACAGTCATCATGCCATCCACCTCAATAAACAGCATAACTAGACTTACATCATGGCCTGTATCAGTGCCTCTCACTATGCCTAACACACTCCCACAGCTTGTTGGAGTTAGTTTAACACTTACTCATGCTGAGCCAACAGTATTTGTGGAAGAACAGCGTGCTCCTTCACAGACTACAGACACAGCACCTCGCAGCCGGGCAACATCTTCAGCTGCAGCAGTGATGTGCTCTGTCGTAATGTGTAATACCATAATAATAAGTTCAGATTTTTATTGTGGGCCGTAACATCATACAGGACATGCTGAAGTCGGTTGTTGGTCAGATATTTGCTTTATAAAGTCTCACTATATGCAGATTTCAGACATTTCAGATTGTTCTTGGAGATTTGTAGTTTTCAGCCGTCAAAGTATTTCTTTCTAGCTTCTTGCTGTGAGCGATCACCAATAATTTAGAAAAGGAGCAAAGGTGATGTCGAGCAGTGTGGGAAAGATTGGTTCCTGTCAAACTAGGTTTTGCTTCTTTAAAATAAAGACAAAAATAAATGAGGAGGTTGATGTCTCACCCGTAGTTTAGCTTTTTTTTTTTTATCAGCAATTAGTGAGGTTTAAGAGGTTAACAATAGCAAGTGTAAACAGCAGACTGTTTGTATATTACTTAGAGAGTCCAGATCATTATTTTAACTTCTGGATTTGCAAATGACTACCAACATTTGCAAACCAGGCATCTTCCATAATGAACAGGGTTTCAGTGTAAATACAGATAAAACGGAGCGATGTTGAGCTGATACTTTCATTTTTCCTACTTTCTGTGGAAGTTAGCTCTTAATAAATTATGTAGTGAACAAAACGTCTCCCTGAGGCTGGGGGAAATTGGTGTTTGATGGCTTGATTTGGGAACAAAACCAGAACTCCAAAAGGTCTGATTCAAAATTTTCAAAGGAACAAAATGAACCTCCAGCAACCAAAGCACCTGCTCTCTGATTTTCCAGTCAGTCAACATTCCTCAGTTGAAAGTTGAAGTTCTTTTAAAGAACTTCCTTCGAACACCTGACTGATAAGAAAAAGAGCCAACTTTGAGTCCTCTTCTCTCAGTGACAACTTTCACACTAAAGAGTTTTTAGCATTACCTGGTAGTCCCTTGGTATGGTGCATTCACTTTTTAGAAAAGGATGAGATTTTTGAGTATCTGAGCAGTATGTCTCTCATTTCTCTCATTGTAGCTTTTAGCATCACAGTTGTTCCCTCACTGGCTTTGTTTTTCTGTCTATTATTTCTTGCATTTCATAAAAAGCTGAAATATTCTGCAAGATGTAAAAGTTTTCATTTTGGCCTGTCTACCTTAAACAACCCTACTAAGCCAAGTTGCTATAATTTTTAGGAGACAAAAGTGTCTTCTGAGCTCTCCAGCTGTGTTTACAGTTAGCTCTCACCGGTGCTCTTGCGAATTTTCCCTTCACTGGCTTTCGTTTCCTTCCCTGTTTCCACAGGCGGGCAGTGAGCGAAGAGATGAAGACGAAGAGGGGAAATGCAGAGGAGTCAAGGAGCAGGGGAACCGAATTCGGGCCAGAGAGTACCTGGAGTACTTCCAGAGAGGGGCGCACTGGAGCAGCAGCTGCAGCACGCCAGAGCTCAGGGAACTGCCCACACACCTGCACTTTAACCATGGTAACGGGAGCATCCCCAGCAACGGGGCTCCTGCGGGCCCCGGTGAGTACTACTCCCCACTGGCCCTAGCCTTGTCACAGCCCCAAGCGCAAGAACCAGAGGAGGAGGACGAGGATGAAGAGGAAGATGAAGACAGGGAGGCAGTTCAGGGTAACGGAGTGAACCCGGGGTCGTCCTACTACCCTCCCTCGCAGAACGGCCACTTCTACCTCCCCCCTGAGTCTCGGCAGGAGGCGGAGGTGGAGGACAGCTGCCGGGAGGCGATGGCGAGGGATAGGGGCTCGGCCAGCGCCCTCCTGCAACAAATGATGGACTCCATCGAGAGGCAGAAGAAGCGTGCGGACGGGGAGGAGCAGGGAGATGGGGACGATCCTGACATGGAATTTTACTTGAATTATTTCAGCAGCACGCAGCACGAAGACGCAGCTTCCGCATCGCTCGTGCACGGCGTGCCGCCGTCGCTGTGGATGTCACGAGGCAGCGCGGGCCAACACACGACAGGAGGAGAGAGGGCGATGGAGGAGAGAGGGAACGGCACCGGAGGAGGTGGAGGAGAAAGAAAGATGCGCTCTAAGGCCTTCCAGAAGTGCCCCATATGCTCGAAGGTCATTCAAGGTGCAGGCAAGCTACCCCGCCATATCAGAACGCACACGGGAGAGAAACCCTATGAATGCGCCATCTGCAAAGTGCGCTTTACCAGGTAAGCCCATTTAATGAAGGGACTACCTCATGTCACATGTGCTAATAGTCTTGGACAAACGGCCCAGCAGAGGGAAACACCACAAAGCCAAGAGCTGGAGAATTAGCGCTTAACCACCTTAGCTTTGCATTAGGCAGTGCAGTCTGTGTCCAAATGTTTACCGTGATCGTGGATTGGCAGGATACTAAACAGATTTCCTCCCAACGTTCCCATGCTGTGAGGGAGGGGAGTGTTATAAAGGTCCGTTTTATGGTGGCAGCCTTCATGGCAAAGTCCTGGAATTTTAGCATAGGGGTCCTATAAAAGAAGGCTGTGCCATCAACGTGTTATCTTGTGAAAAGGGGCCATAAAGGACTGTATTCTGATACAGGGGCGAGGGGTTGCAGGCACCGGATAGTGCTCTGGCTCCAGTACAGTAATGTGAACTTTTGATCTGCTGTTATGCTTCTTATTGCCCGTAGCAGAGTATTTACACAATCCCCTCCCCTCGCTCTCTCACTCCTTCACCTCTCAAATAAAACCTGCTACGTGTCCCTTAGAAAACAGATAGACGTGGCTTATCTACAGGAGGGGACATCTGTGCGAAGGGTTTTCACGTCAGGAAGGCTTGCCTTTTCCATGAAATGATTACTTTAATGAATCAATTAGCTGGCCTTTGGTGGAAATAGACGCTGCTGTCTGAAAATATCCAGAACCCCTCTGAGCACGAGGAAGACCATTCTTAATTTATCCTCCAGCTAAATTTGACCACCAGTGGAAAGGGGGCGGCATTGTAATCTTAATCCTGTTTGATCAGGGTTAAGGGTTTGCCTCGCTCTGTAATAAATCACTCCTATCCTTTAAATAATTTACCTCTGTCAGTGGCTACTTTGCTCCAATGCTGTGCTCTGATATGTGTGTCTTTTCCTCGTCACCCTCGTTTGTTAAAGTTTTGATGTTGGGCTCACAGATCTGCAAAGGTTGCAGTGGGCTTACTCGTTTGGTTGTATGACAGCTGATGTACTAACTTAAATGATATTTGCACTGTGTATGTAGGTGTGCACATTTGGAGCTTATGCTAGCAGCTCTTATTTGACTAGGAGCACTAAGTGTAGGAAGGTTAGACGATTTAAGTGCTTGGGAGCTAGAGGAAGACAGCAACGGCTAAAGGGGGGAACGAAGGACAAGAGTCAGATGAAGGCCAAGGCAGCCTGATAAGTCAAAGGAGCAGCAAAGTAAAACATGTTTCGAAATGTTATTAGATTACTTTGAATCTGCAGAAGTCAAGATGCACTGATCAAAATACTGTGGCTGATTTTAAATCTGAGGTTTGACAAGCCAAAAACATTTTGGTTTCTCTTTTTATTATAAAAAGACATCACACTTTACACCTGTTGACATTACATGTTTACATGAGAAGAAATGGGCAACTTTATGTGCGAGGCAGCAGTTTCTGTAAAACAAGGTTTTGCTAACATTTTAAGACAAAACCATTAATAATGGGGCTGACGTTCAAAACTATATTTAACATCTTCCATTAGCGATTAGCGCAGTTAGCTTTACTAACTATAAACAACTTTCTGCATGTGTGTGAACCGTATAGAAAATTTTAATCACATTGAATCTGAAATTTGTGAAAGGCTGCTAACATTTGCAAATCCAGCATGTTCCCCGACTGGTGGGTTTCAAACACAAAAGCATAAAACAGAGCAGCTTTGTTTCTATTTAGCCTTCCTGTTATCCGCTAAATGTTTCACTCTCTTGCAGCCTGAAGGAAATACAGATATGTCTGGCTTAGAGTTGCACAATATGCCACTTAGAAATAGTTATTGTAATATCATAATCACAAAGGACTGGTTGGATACAGTCTTTGGTAGGATTGTTCTTCACGTGCCATGCATGGATACACTTCATGCCTGAAATAGATTTAGCCTGTTGGATAAACTTTTAGTGCTCTTGATGGCCACGCTTGTTTGTTTTAGGTGGCTGAAATCCTGAAGCTGACAGAGTGATGGAAGAACAGGGTCAGGAGAATGTGGTTCATTTATATCGTCATTGCAATATTAAGTAATTTTTGTTAGCATCGTGTAGCTCAGAGAAAATGCAGTTTACATTTTAAAGCTTTTAAAGTCAGGAAAGCAGTAGAGAAAGACAGAAGGAAG